TTCCTTCCTTCCTTCCTTCCTTCCTTCCTTCCTTCCTTCCTTCCTTCTAGCCTTTCCTAGATACCAAGCTACATATCCAAGATACTTGTGGCATCCACAACCTTCATGGAATGCCAGGTTTAATTGGAGGCATCGTGGGAGCTGTCACTGCTGCCGCTGCTACAGAAACAGTCTATGGAAAGAAAGGGTGAGGTGCTTTAGGCCATCTATGTTGGGAAGGGTGTCAAACACAAGGTCCACGGGCTGTATCCAGTCTACAATGTGGTCAGATCTGGCCTGTGGGGCTGTCCTGGAAAATGTAAGTGGCTGGTTTGCATGGCTTTGACATGGTCTACCCAGTGCAAAGAGAAAACATACCAGCAGTTGGGGGAGTGGCATCAAGTTGGCCATGCCTACCCAGTTGGCCACAAGCTCAGCGTCTTGGCCACTGAGCCACTGCATCCCTTATTCATGATCTCAACCAAAAAGACTACAATTGTCCTTGATATGGAGGGAAATCCTCACCTTCCCCTCTTTTCCGCTTCACTTCATTTTCACAGGCTCATCAACATGTTTGACTTCGCCGGAGAATACCGAGATCGAACGCCTAGTATCCAAGGGGGATTCCAAGCAGCTGGCATTGCAGTATCACTAGCTATGGCTTTTGTAGGAGGATCTATTGTAGGTAAGTGGAGGATCCTTAATGAGAAATCTAACCTAGATTTCTTGGCTAAGACGCTGAGCTTGTCGATCAGAAAGGTCGGCAGTTTGAATCCCTAGTGCTGTGTAATGGAATGAGTTCCCGGTACTTGTCCCAGCTTCTGCCAACCTAGCAGTTCGAAAGCAGGTAAAAATGCAAGTAGAAAAACAGGGACCACTTTGGTGGGAAGGGAACAGCGTTCTGTGCACCTTCGGCGTTTAATCGTGCCGGCCACATGACCACGGAGATTTCTTCGGAAAGGGCTGGCTCTTCAGCTTTGTAACGGAGATGAGCACCACCCCCTAGAGTTGGAAACGACTAGCATGTATGTGCAAAGGGGACCTTTACCTTAACCTAGAACTAAGGAGAAATTTCTTGACAGTTAGAACAATTAACCAGTGGAATGCCTTGCAGTGTTCTAACACTGGAGGTTTTCAAGAAGAGATTGGTCAACGTCTGGAATGGTACAGGATCGCCTGCTCAAGCAGGGGGTTGGACAAGAAGACCTCCAAGGTCCCTTCCAAATCATATTCTGTATTCTGAAGTTAGCCTCTTTTTTTTTGTATATTCTCTCCTGCTTGAAGGTGAGCATGGATGATCGTCTTTCTCTGCATCACGTATAATTCGAGGCAAAGCCAAGATTTAAATTAGATGAAAATTAACCAAAGAGAGGTCCCAACCTAGAACTAAGGATAATTTTCCTGACAGTGAGAACAATTAATCAGTGGAATGGCTTGCCTCCAGAAGTTGTGGGCATTCAATCACTGGAGCAGTGGTGGGATTCAAATATTTTCACTACCGGTTCTGTGGGTGTGGCTTGGTGGGCGTGGCAGGGGAAAGATACTGTAAAATCTCCAGTCAGAGGTGGGATTTGCCAGTTCTTTGAACTACTCAAAATTTCCGCTACTGGCTCTCCAGAACTGGTCAGAACCTGCTGAATACCCACCTCTGCACTGGAGGTCTTCAAGAAAAGGTTGAATAGTCATTTATCTAGAATGGTGTAGTGTCCTCCAAGTTCCCTCCCAACCCTATTGTTCTATGTTCTAACTGAAAAATCCTCATGCAGATGCAGAACAGCTGTTTTCCTTAATAGTGCACCAGCAAGAGGTGCAATCTCTGCTTAGTCATTATCTCTAATTTTCTATGACTCAACCCAGCGCCTACATCTCTGATGTTTCCCTACTGCCATCTTCTGGCTTGTTAAGCTTCGGTTGAAAAAAAAATTAGAAAAGTAAAATCATCTTCCCTCTGAGCTAACAGATAATAGATAATAAGAGATAACAGGAAATCAGAGTTGGAAGGGACCTTGGAGGTCATCTAGTCCAACCCCCCGCCCAAGTGGGAGACCCTACACCATTTCTGACAAATGGCAGTCCAATCTCTTCTTGAAAGTCTCAAGTGATGGCACTCCCACAACTTCCGAGTAGCTCAACTACTGTAGACTGACATGGAAAATTCCTGCAGTTTTTTTGGGATTATAGGATGTGTTTCTTTCATATTCCCAGTTATGCAGCTCTTTCAAACGCCGGATGTCAAACTTAAGAGTAATTTTTTCCGGTTCTCATTAATTGTTGGATGTATCTTGGTGGATGTTTGTTTTCTCCAACATACTTTTTTTTTCTTTTGTGATTTGTGCCATGGTACAGAGGGCTTTCTCAGTTGAAAAATAAAAAATAAAATAAAAAAATTAAAATGCACCATAAGAGAATTTAGCATTCGATTTTTCTTTCCCCCAAAGGTGGCATTTTGAAACTGCCCTTTTTTGGTGACCCTACAGATGAAAACTGCTTTGAAGATAATGTCTACTGGGAAGTAAGTGGATTAGACCTGGATTAATTAAATTAATCCAAGTTAAATGTGGAGTCAGCACCAATGATTTATTCCATAGTCCTGGAAGTAAGTCTACCTGAAAGCAAAGGAATATGTATTTCATTAAGTGTAAAGCAATTCTGAACTGCAAACTGTTTCCAGGTTTTTTAACATAAGTCTTCTCTGATGGAGAAGGTGAACATGACATTTTCAGGATCGTTATATAAATACCTCAGTGTGACCTATACAGACACCCACAGCAACAACCCTGTGAGGTAGGTTGGCTTGAGAGATCACAACAGGCCCCAATTCCCCCAGGTTGCGTCCATGGGTGGATTAGAATCTGGGTTTTCCCATCCCAGTCCAACAGCTTCATCTCTTCATCATATTGTCTCTCTCCTTCAGAACAGGAAGAAAGATAAAATCAAGTCTAAATTTATAAAAATAAATAAATAAATTTGAAAACTGACCCTTAATTCAGGTTGAGGACTACCGGTATTTTTGATTTGATATGATAATTTGAAAACCAGTTTATCCTCACTGCCCCTGAGGAACATACCATAAGAATATTCCCTCTTCTATATTAGTGCCAAAATGTTCGGATTTCATTTCTCATCTATTGATGGTCTCTGTCTTGAGATCAATATGGCCAAACCTAGCTCTCTAATTGTGCATTTCATTGTTTTTTTTGGAACAGAACTCATATTCAAAGTCCTTGAAATATATTATTCTGGATGTAAAACAATGCAGCATATATTATATATATGAGTTAGATATATGGGAGCAGAGACAGAAATTCTCTCTCTCTCTCTCTCTCCCTCCCTCCCTCTCCCTCTCCCTCTCCCTCTCCCTCTCAAACACACGCGCATATCTATCATCTCTCAATCATCTATCATCTATCTATCTATTTCTCTATAGCTATATCTAGCTAGCTATTATCTCTCTCTATCACTATTTCCCTCTGCTCTATCCCTCTATATCTATATCTATCTATTTCATCCATCATCTATCTATATCAATCTTTAATCTCTCCTATCTATCTATCTATCTATCTATCTATCTATCTATCTATCTATCTATCTATCTATCACCATCCATCCATCTAATTCTAATCTATCTGATATACTGTATGAGGATAGATGTACTGCCACTAGGTGACACTGTTGTCTGCCAAATAGCAAGCTGGGAGCTTACCAGCGTTACCCTCCAGGCATATTGGATTCTAACTCCCATCCCTCTCAGCCACCTAGCTGTGTGCCACAGACACCGTAATCCAGATATCTTGACAGTGAAAGCAATTGATGCAGGAAGAGGGATTTTTTTTTTAAAGGTGATTCTGACTCACCCCACATTCTGTCATCCTTCTAAAGGTCCCTGGCGAGGAAGAGAGCAACCTTTACTGCATGCATGACTCCAATGCTAAGCCTGTGATTAACCCTTAACCCGGGACATCAACAGACAAAGGGTAAGACAGACAACTTGACCAATTTTATATGCTGGCTTCTTTCTATCTTTCTTTTAATATTACAGTACCACGCAGACCTGATCAGGTTCTCCAAGGGTATTAAAGCCCAAATGAAACCAATGCACAGATACTTTGCACACACTTGCCAAAAATTGGGCCTACAGCCTAAGTTTTATATGCTTTCAATGGAAAGAAGCTTTTTATTTACAAGGCATCCTTCCTGATATTCTTTAGTGGCTGGTTGATTTTCATAATGGCAATATCCAGCATGTGCTATCATAATCTTATGCCCCCTCCCCCGCACTCCTCACCCTAGTGACAAAGGCTTCTGGTTTTCTGCCTTATGCTCAGAGGGGTTCAAATGTTTTCCATCCTTCTGCAACTTTCCTGGCTGCTCCCACTTCCCAATCTGGAAAATCCCCATAGGAGACATCTTCTGCCTTGGCTCAGCATTTGGTGGAAGCATGTGAGGTCCGGAAATTTGCAGCAAGAAAAATTATTTTGCATGCTCTCTTTGTTGACCTTACTGCTAAAGTAATGCAAGAACAACACTCTTTGATTGTGAGAATTGCTGGCTGTGAGATTCTGGGAGCTGAAATCCACACATTTTAAAGATGCTAAGGTTGAGAAACACTGGGTTATAGTACACAAAATATTTGTCAGGTCCCAAGCTGGAGAAGGGACCTATAAATAGACAATAAGAAATATTTCCACAGCTAGTAATGGGATTTCTCTCTTTCTTTTCTTCTAGGGTGATCAACCTCTGCCTTTGGAATTCCCCCCCCCCCCACCTTTTTTTTACAGCAGAATTAAGGAAATGGAAGAAGGCAAAAATATTATCATTCAAATGAAGAGATTATTTTTAAACATGAACTCACACACACAAAAATATGCAAACAAATTATAATGAAGTTGAGAAGGGTGAATCCTCAGATTCAGAAGCATCTTGCTAAAACCAAAACAAGTTATGAAACAACAATGACATAGAATAAGCTATAAAATGTTAGAGTTTATTGACCAATAAAAAATGAGTGAGGCATTCCCCACAGAGCTCTTAAAATGAAATAGCTGAAGTTTTAGCAAAAGCATATAACTTTCCCTAAAATTGGCTGTTTTTTATTTAATTTAAAGGCCTGGAGATTAGTTTTTTTTAAAAAAAAATATAATAAGGAAGGAAGGCAAAAGAAGCTAAAAATTACAGCTCCCATTCTAGGTAAATTTGTGGAAAGCATTAGGAAAGATAAAACTACAAGCCATATGGAAGAATGAATATGGTGGTTTCTGGGCAGGCAAGTGTCACCTCCCCAATTTTTAAAGAGTTTTTTAAGGAGTCAACCTGATCAGTCTTTTAGCTGGATGCTTTAGCCAACATCTTCCCTCAGGGAAGCCTGAGTCAACCTACCAATCAAGGGAGAAGACCAATCCTTTCATAGATGTTGCAAGACTTAGAAAGGGGGAATGAATGTAATGCGAGTTTTGCAAAAAAAGAATGCCAGAAAATAAGACCATCCATAGGATCTATACAGAAATTGGGGCATTTTCCAAAATGATCTAGTGAACAGCCCAGAGTAGCAAAGTGGTTGAATTTGCAAAATTGTCAACCAGCTCTCAAAGGGCTCCCAGGTGAGATTCCCTCTCATTGCATGGAAGAAGAACCACCTAAGTGTTGTTATAGGTCTTGGGGTGGTTGTCTACAGTCTGATGAATATCTTGGCCCACTCAATGGGACACCAGGTGTCACCAAATCAATTAAAGGCCTTGAGGCTGCAACAGACAACTATGCTTTCCTAAATCTGTAAATGTTGTAAGTAAAGGCGTTTTTACAAAAAGTGACCAATGTTTGCCATGTTTTATCTTCCACCCAGACTGGTTCTTAGAACATTGAATATCAGAGTTGGAGGGGACCTTGGAGGTCTTCTAGTCCAACCCCCTGCTCAAGCAGGAGACCCTATACCATTTTAGACAGTCTTTTCTTAAAAGCCTCCAGTGATGGAGCACCCACAACTTCTGGTGGCAAGCTGTTGATTGTTCTCACTTCCAGGAACTTTCTCCTTAGTTCTAGGCTAGGTCTCTCTTTGATCAGTTTCTATCCATTTTTTCTTGTCCTGCCCCGAGGTGCTTTGAAGAATAGGTTGTCCCCCTCTCCTTCGTGGCAGCCCTTCAAATATTAAAACACTGCTATCATGTCATTCCTGGTCCTTCGTCATTTCTTTCTTTCTTTCTTTCTTTCTTTCTTTCTTTCTTTCTTTCTTT